GGGAGATAGGACCACTGCAGTCAGTGCTTGATTGTCATGTGTTCTGCTACTAATTAATAGGAGAGTACCTTGAATACACTTTACATGGCTACTTAAGAGAAAGTGTGTGCTCTTTGAAAAAAAATTATTTTTCAATGAAGGGAAACATTCTGCTCTACAAATCTCAGAATTTTATAGCAGCATACTTGCACTGTCACTCATTTAAATAAACCATAGAATTTTCTTAATGAAGAAAATAGAAGACCAAACCAGCCTCGGTGGCTATGTGTCCAAGTAGCCAAAGGATAACTACAAGGGATCTTAAAGGCACAAGGAAGGAAAAGTGGGAGCTATTGGTAAATGTACTTGGACAAGGTGATAGTACAATGCGCTATTTATGTATTTTTTTGGGAAATGAAAAATCTTCACGTACTGAGGTTTTGTTTTGTTTTTGTTATTTGTTTGTTTGTGTTTGAGCATCCATGTAACACTTAGTATTTATTGAGTATTTATATGCAGGCTAAAATACTACAGCTAGCCTGACATGGCACATAAAACTATACTTATATTCTGCTTGTCAGGGCTGGGTGATTCTGGAAGTTTGAGGCTAGTCTGGGCAACATTGTGAGTACCAGTTTTAGGACTGTCAGAAACTTTTGCTGAACCTCCTTTTCATCAAGGGGTTGGATTTGTTGATATAAAAGTTAACTGAATGACTTCTAATACTAAATATGTGATCATATGTTACTGGAACCTTAGACATAACATGAAATTTATAGAAAATGCAAACATCTAGATTTATGTAACATGCTGCTGCCGAGAGAGCAAACTAAAGTGTTCTGACTGGCACTAAGAGGTCTTCCTCCTGTAACTAAGCCTCTTGCCTGTCCCAGCTACATCATATACATGTCCTTTACACAGAGTCTGTTCTCTTTCCCAACATGAAACCACCACCCTCCTTAGATCCCAGATTAGTTATGGGTTTGCTGGAAATGCTTTTTACTTATTTGTTTCTCGTGTGTGTGTGTGTGTGTGTGTGTGTGTGTGTCTGTCTGTCTGTCTGTCTGTCTGTCTGTCTGTTTGTCTGGGTTGCACAAAATGTTTGTATACCTGTGTTTGTTTCTCATGTGTGTGTGTCTGTGTCTGTCTGTCTGTCTGTCTGTCCGTCTGTCTGTCTGGGTTGCACAACATGCCTGTATGCCTGTGCTTGTTTTTCGTGTGTGTGTGGGGGTGGGTGGGTTGCACAATGTGTCTGTATGCCTGTGCTTTTTCTCATGTGTGTGTTTATGTAGGGTTGCACAGTGTGTTTGTATGCCTGTGTTTCCTTCTTGTGTATGTGGGGGGATGGGGGGTTGCACAACATGTCTGTATGTCTGTATTTGTTTCTTGTGTGTGTGTGTCTGGGTTGCACAACATATCTGCAGGCCTGTGTTTGTTTCTTGTGTGTATGTGAGGGGTTGCACAATGAGTCTGTATGCCTGTGTTTCCTTCTTGTGTGTGTGTGGGAAGGCTTGCACAACATGTCTGTATGTCTGTGTTGTTTCTTGTGTGTGGGGGGGAGGTGTTGCACAACATGTCTGCATGCCTGTGCTTTAAGCCATTTTATTTCAGTTGTTCTCCATATTCCTTCACAGTATGGTGATGAAGAATTACTGGATGTTAAGAGGCCAGGATCTGTAGATAGACAAACTTGGATCCTTATAAATAGATATATTAGATTTTGAATAAACACCTTAATATCTGGGCATTTCTATTCTCTTATGGAAATAGAAATACTTGTGCCAAAACATGTGTGTTGTAAAAGGCATTTTATTACTAGTATTAGAATCTCTTATGACCGTCCTCCTCCCGGGAAGGCACAGAAGAGTGGACAGGAAGTGCATTCACTTGTACACTAGCTGAGTGCCCTGGTTACCAGGCATTGTTCTCAGTTCTGGGATGAAGTCCTGAACCAAGCAAAGGAAACGCCTGGGCCTCAAAAGACAATTAGAATAATCGCACACTTTGATATAAGGCAAAAGTATACTTCTTAGATTCCATTGTCTTCAAAACCTCTAATCATATTAAAATAGAAACTTAATTTAGGCTGAAATCAGATCCAAACGAAGTGCAAATGATTAGTTCTAATTCACTGTGAGATGTTAATCAGGACCTTGAAAAGTCCTGCTGCAGATTCTGTGTTACAGATTCCTGATGACAAGGGGGAAAGTCTGAACCCATATTAATTAAAGAATAAACAACTGATCTTTCTTTAGAAAACATCAATTAATATGTGCCTCAAAATATATTTTGTATTTATTGGGTTATAATTGGTCTTCAAGTTTGAAGGTTTGCAATCTTTTTAAAATTGCAAAATATTTACTAACTGATACCACAAGATGGTTTCTAAAGAGGACAAGTTGCATATATCATGCTTTCTCTAAGAGTGTTTTTCAGTTGCTACGTATTTTTCCCAAAGTGATGTGTTTAAACTTATTGTATACAAATATTTCACTTTTTACTTGAAGGGCATTTATTATTGTATACATCCAAATGAAAGGGTCCGTCAAATGAGAATGCTTTCTATGCTGGAGACTCTATCCATATTGAACATAATGAAGCCTTAATAATGGCAATTATAAACAGCTATAAAATAGTCTATTACAGCCAAAAGTACACATTAGCTATAGAACAATTCCTTATGCATTTAAAATACAATTAGACCTTGACACAATGTGCTGTAAATGCATTCAGAACCAAGAACACTTGGTGGAACCCGCCAGTCATAGTTCAGTGCCATCTTTTTTTATTTGGGATATAAGAGGGGGATGGCAGCCAGGTGGTGGCAGTGCAGGCCTTTAATCCCAGCACTCAGGAGGCAGAAGCAGGCAGATCTCCGTGAGTTTGAGGCCAACCTGGTCTACAGACCGAATTCCAGGACGGGCTCCAAAGCTCCACAGAGAAACCCAATCTCAGGGTGGTGGTGGTGAGGATAGAGAAGTGGGGGTTGGGTGATGACATGGAAAACTGAGAAAGAGAAAAGATTCTCGTTATCACTGAGCTACATCCTTATCCCCAAACTGTATTTATTGAGCCATGATTCATTTAAAAATGTGTCTTTCTACCTTGTAAACTATTATTTTTAGAAACATCTCTTGAGATATATCTGCAAAAGTTTGACATGGTACAGCCTGTCTTCTGGAAGCTTGTTTGAAGCTTAAAAATAGGAGGAGTAAACCTCAATAAATGAAAGTGAGAAGCAAGGTGGATCTTATCTTTAATCCAAGCATCCCAGAGGCAAGTGCGTCTCTGTAAGTTTGATGGCAACTTGGTCCATATAATGCATTCTGGGCCAGCTGGAACTACATGGTTAGACTATATCTCAAAATAACAAAGGTAAATTAATAGCATGTAGACATATAGGAGTGAAGAAAGTACCTTTAGAACTGAGAACAAAGAGGAGGTGTTGTTGCCTTTAGACCTAGAATCTGGAAAAATCCCAGTGGAGGATGTCAAAGAGGAAGAAATAGCAACGTTGCTGAAGTTACCACGTTAGTACAAGGTGAGGATTTTAATAGACTACAGAAAGGAGTAGTAAGGAACGTGTAGCCATTACGTTATGGTGACAAAATGATCACTGCAAAGAGGAATTCAAAATAAAATGAAATTAAATCTTAGTACATAACCAGATTCCTTTCCCATCCCATTGCTCTGGATAGGTTAGTGTAGTCAATCAAATGAAAAAAGTATGAATGCTTTCTGGGCCCTGGGGCAGATAAACCACATGAATGTAGGCTTTACTTTAGGATAAAATTAAGTAAAAACACCATTCATGCTCCCAAGCACCTACACATGAATAAAAGCACACAAACGATACAAAGAAAAGGAAGGCTAAGCGTTGTTGAAAAAGGATCAGTGAAGTAGTTGTTTTTGTGTCCTTGGTTCAGAAACTAAGCACACAGGGGAGAACAAACCTCTCTAGGGAGGAGAGAGATTCCTGCCTATTTGCTAATCAGCAGTCACTGGAGAGCAGACTGTGGTTCACGGTAGCTGTGTAGAAAAAGAAACCTAATAACATGGTTTACTAGCCTTGGTTCTGCCACTTACAGTTGCAACAAGCCCTGTTTCCTCTCTCAATTGATGATAATAATAGCTTGGAGCTGTTGAAAGGGTCAGTAGATTATCCTTATGACTTAAAGTAAGATAAGAATTTCAATAAAAGAGTTAAAAAGATATTCCGTGCTGTTCAAATCTCTGAGGGCAGATGTCAGGGCCCTCCCACCTCATAACCTCATGTCCTATAGGAAGACAACAGGTGAAGAATGAAACTTGAGGCAAAGGCAGCACCACCTTGAAGGACCCTGGGCGAAATTTCCAGAGTCTAACTTCAGGATTTATTTTGCTTACACATTTAAGCTCAAATAAAAAGGGTTTTCCTTGTGACAACTATCACAACAAAGCTTTCGGCAAAGCTGCATAGAAACTCCCTAGCACAGAAGCAAAGCACATGTGTCCTTTACAAAATTAATGAGTTCCATTGGCTGATAAACAGAACTCAGGGCCTAAGACAGAAGGATTTGTAAGAAACGTAAGGCTAGATTCTATCGATGTAGGATGCAAAGTACATGAGGTTCTTTCCTAAGAACGGGTTTCCTATGGGCCTAGACAATGCCAAGGATTTGGAGGGATTCAGGATGGCTGGCTCCATAGAATAGCAAAATGATCACCAGGTGGTTACACAATACTCACTCCAACCTTCTTGGTCACCAGGCATCAGCCGTTTCTTTCTCCAGTGCTTTCCTGAGAATATACCAGGCAGAGGAAAGTATGTGAAGCTGGAAGCTGCCTGGTTTCCTCACAGGATGCCAGTGTCTGGAGTCACATAGAGGTTTTTGGATGGGTTGAAGGTGATCTCTCAGATATAAGCACCAGGTAAAATGTATTGGATTATCAGCTATGTGGAAAATATTTTTAAATTACATTTTTAGAATTATTTATTACTATGTATGTATAAGTATTTGCCTGTGTATATACATACATACCACATTCACACTTGGTTTTAGCAGATATCAGAAGAGGCTGGTAGATTCCCCAGAACTTGAGTCACAGATAGTTGTAGTCCATATGGGTGCTTTAAAGCAAATCCAGGTCCTCTGCGTGAGCAGCCATTTCTTCAGGCCCTATGTGGGGATTTTTTTTATCTCACCCTAAGAGAGATGGGAAACCACAGGGCAGTTTATTTTTATTTTTTTGAGAAATTTTGAGATTATTCATTTATTTATATGTATTTATGTGTATGTGTGCCCCTGCATGAGTTTATACATACCACAAGTGCAAAAACCTCTTGAAGCCAGAAGAGGAAACCAGAATCCCTTAAACTGGACTTCTAGGCAGATGTGAACTACCACATTGGGGAGCTGGGAACTGAATATGGCCCCCCTGATAGAGTAGCAGATACTCTAACTTCTAAGGCATCTCTCCAGTCCCTTCCCTGTCTGAAGAGTTTTTAATTATGTGATAAACTGTATCATAGTGGATGGATTAAGAAAGATAGAGAATATACATAGACTACTAGGGGTTTTTTCTAGTTTGTTATTGTTAATTTCCCTTGCAATCAACTTCACATTCTAAAATACCCCAAACAATGGATACATTTTTTAAAAAGCCAATGGCAAACTCAAGAATAATATCTCTTTAATCATATTTCTTTTCAACTATGAGGGTATAATAATCTCAGTGAGAGGTGTTTGTCTTTGTAAGCCTCTCCTGAGCTTTTGTAGCCCTCAAGCATGGGTGGGATGGTGGGAGCATGGGAGCCACGGTTGTCATTAACATCAGTGGATTATGTGGCACCAACATAACAAGAAAGACCCAGTGCAAGCATATTAGGCTACCAAACATACTTAAGCACACTTTTGAATTCAAAATAAGCATTTTTCTAGATGACAAATTCATTTCACTTTCCTTCTATAAGCCAGGAAAGCATGTGGAGATGGGATGACAAAAGTGTGTCACGCAGCAGTTTATATGTTGAGAATTTTGTAAGCTCTTGTTCTCCTAAATATTCCTGTACTCACCTTGTCTTCATCATGGGATGACCAGAGTGTATTTCTAGTGTCTGGAGTAGCTGGGCTAGTGCACAGTTAGTTGTTCTTTAAAACGCAGAATTTTAAAGAGCTGCCTGTCTTCTGCATCTGATAACATTACCTATCACTCTAAGGTGCTATGTAATTTCTCCTGGGTGGGTTTTGAGCAGAGAAGTGAAATAACTGGTCTGTAAAATGTTCACCTTGATTCTTGCGGGAAGATGGGTTGCCAAACACCAGCCTGGAGGCAGTCTCAGAAACTGTAGAAAAGGCTTGTGAGCCAGGTCATATGGGTAGCAATAGAAGTGATGAGTGCTTGGCTTCTAGCTTTATTCTGGTGGTAGAACTGATATATTTGTAAAGATTTTGCTCTAGCTTTCTGGACCTGTATCAATACTCTCCCAATTCTTGGTTTGGTTTATTATACTAAAAAGTGATTTCAGTTTACTTTCTTAACATCTAAGTATCAGTCTAGCTTCAAAGTATCAGTGACCTAACAGTTCGTTTTCTTCTTGGTCTCTTTGAAGTGTTTTCTGCTATAAATGGACAATATCAAAAAGTACCCTTTTATTCTCACAAAATTTAATTAAAATTTCTCACAAAATTGAAACAACATATGGTTATTAATGCTATTAGCTCCCTGGAGTCCCGGTTTTCACCGCAGATTCTCTTCTACCCTTTATCCCCCCATCATCCTAAAGCTAGTACACGTGCACACACACACATACACACACACACACACACACACACACACTTACCACATATAGTACCTACATATTCCATACCACACAGATATCACATACAAACAGACACACACAAAAGACACACAGAGAGACACACACAGACACACAAACATACCACATACCATATACACCATACACCACAGTCACCCCTCCACACACAGATGCACTCATACCAGATACACCACACACAGAAAGACACACCCTCTTACCACACACCACAAACACATGTGCACTCTCACTCCCTACATACCACACACACAGAGAAAAACACACCATATACCACACACACATACACATTCACATATCCCCCCACCACACACACACACCAGGAGACAAACACAACAGAAACATCACACACAGAGACACACAGCAGACACACACACCACACACACAGAGACACTCCCTGTCACGCACACCAAGCACATCACAGAGACACTCCCTGTCACGCACACCAAACACATCACACACAGACACATAAACCCACCACACACACCAACACCCCTCATATACACCACACACAGAGACACACAGCAGACACATACACCACACACACAGAGACACTCCCTGTCACGCACACCAAACACACCACACACACATCACACACAGACACACAAACCCACCACACACATCAACATTCCGCATATACACCACAAACATACACACACACACACACACACCATACAAAACATAGACACACACAGAGGCACAAACACACTGTACACCATGAAGACACACATAGAGGCAGGCACATACCATACACCACGAAGACACACACAGAGGTACACACACACACCATACACCATGTAGACAAACACAGAGGCCCACACCATACACCATGTAGACACACAGAGGCACACACACCATACACCATGTAGATACACACACACCGTACACCACATACACACACACAGAGGTGCATATCATACACCACGTAGACACACACAGGGGCACACACCATTCACCACATGGACACACACAGAGGCGCACACACTCCGTACACCACATAGACACACACACCATACATCCCTATAATCATTCACTCTTTATAAACAGTCTTCTCCTACAAATATGTCAAGATTTTGCTCTTAAGCTAAGTCATACCAGAAAGGATTCTCCCAATTAGAAAACCACTTTCAGCTCAGTTGAAATATTTTACATACAAAGAAGCATTGCAGTCTCCCAGGGCTAAACTGGTCCAGCCTTTACTAAATAGAATTTCTCCGTAATCACTGAAGTAGAAAATCATACCCCTTTATCCCCAGTTTGGAAGCTAGAAGAAATCTAGGTTGTAGAAAACAGCGGCCTTGCAGCAAGGGAAATGAGTAAATAAAGACCCTCCTCGGTTCCTTGTTCGTTTTGTATTGTTGTTGTCCTCAGAGGACAAAAATGGAAAAGAAAACTGGAGGGAATGGAAATAAGTCTCTTACAGCTTAAACAACACGTGGCTTTTCAGAAGAAAATGACAGTGAAGCTACTCAACCCAACTCATCGTTCTATTATCAAACGCTCTCTCCAGCCAATCACGGCATTGCGAAGTGAACATTCCATTTTCCAAGATTTCCTACTTTGCATAATCTGACAAGTTTTTGCCAGGTGGATATCAGCGTGACCTCTCCTGCTCTTTTGTTCCTTGTTTTATTCTCTCATTCCCCAAAGTCTAACTTAGTTACAAAACATGAAGTGGATAATTTTTGTTTAAGTAGCATTTGAACCTTCTCTGGGATGACACCTGCGCACTGCTCAGCAGGGGATGTGAACACAGGTTCCCAGTCCTAATCAAGAATCTCACCACAGTGACATCTGCTGCCAGAGAAAAATCAGTTTTTTTCAACGATGTTTTTGTTGAGTTCCTTTGTCTCAAGGGGCTTTGTTTGGGCATCTTTTGTTTTACTGGTCTTTTGCTTGTATAATACGGTTAATATTATGGTTTCCAATTTGGTGTTTTATGGTTTTATACTCTGTGTGTATATGTATGTATGTTTCTGTGTGTGATCAGAATATTTTATGAAGAACACTTTAATTAAAGAAAGAAAAGGCCACACGCAGTGAGGGAATGGAATAGTGCTCTCCTACATGCAGTTCCCACGATAGCCATTATGTGATGAAAAGAGAAGGGTATGTCTACTGCTAAAGACATCTAACATTGTCTTTGAAAATAGGGAAGCAAGCGAATCTAATCATGCGCCAACATAGGACTTAAAATATAAATTACTGTGATATATTGATACTTTAATTACTTATAACATATGCGATTGCATTGATCAGGATTGAACATTATTCATGTTGTTCAAGAAATAAGTTTAGTGCTGGAGAGGCGGCTACGTCAGTGAAGGTCTTGCTGTGCAGTCAGTACACCCTAAGCTCAGTCCCTTCAAAACCTTGTTAAAAACTAAGAATATTGACACACGGCTGTAAACTCAGCACCAGGGAGAACAAAAGGGGGAGAATCCCCAGGGGAATCACTGTTCATCAAGTCTAGCTGAAATGGAGATCTTCAGGTTCAAAGAGAGACTCTGTTTCGAAAAATAACATGGAGAGCAACTGAGAAAGGCATATGACATTGAACTCTGGCCTCCACATGTGGATACATACACATACAGAGAAAGAAGGGTGACAGGGAGAGAGAGAGAGAGTGAGAGAGAGAGAGGGAGGAAGAGAGAGAGAGAAGGTGGGTTTAAGGGAAAATGGGACATCAAGCTTTCAAAGAATAGTAAAATTAAAAAAAAAACCTAAAGAACAGTCAATTAGAAATAGTCAACATTATTATCACAAAGATAATGCAAATTAAGACCACAGTGCCATGACTTCACAACCACAGGAATCATGGTAATAAAGACAGATGGTCCACACAAGTGTCAGTGATGAGGCAGGCCTGCTGGGAACTGCTCTCTCTGCTAGTGATATTGATTTTCAGGAAACAGTTTGGCGGTTTCCTAAAAGGTTAAATACAGACTTATCATATGGCTTGGCACTTCTCTTAAATCTGTAGCTAAGAGAATGTAAACATGTCCACACAGCAACTTCTACACAAGCGTTCATATTACAGCAGTTTTAGTCATAGCAGACAAGAACTCATAACTCAAAATTCATTGAATACACGTGCAAAGAGTAAGTATGTCCTTTTGAGCATTGGTATGTACTTTAGTCATGACTCTCTTGTTGTAAAGAGAAATCAGGAAGGACCAAGGCAACTCATTCTAAAATAAAGTCTTTAAGTGTGAATTATTTAGATATCTTTTGAACACTTACTAGTTTATCTGCAACAGTGACCTTTAAAAAAAAAAAGTAAAGTATTTAACTGGAGGTTTGCTTACAGTTCCAGAGGTTTAGTGTATTGTCAAATGGGCAGGGAACATGGCAGCATGCAAATAGACATGG